TTATATGCACTGTTACTTAACTTCTTTGCCCAGATGCTACTGCATTATATCAGTGGAAGTATTCCTGTAATGCAAGCTTATTTGTTTCATAGGTTTGATCGATTATTTTGAACTACCAGACTGCACAGCCGTGGGTCGGTAGAGGTTAACCGAACAAACTTGCAGTTGTGTGACCTGTAAGCATGATCGTCATGCTACATGTTTTAGTTGCTTCGATTTGTTTTTCAGCATGCTGAAAGCACGTTCAATTTTGACATCTTTTTTGATGGTCTGTTGAAGTGGCGCTGAAGTGATCTTTGTCTCAGGAAGGAGTGATGATCTCCGAGGAAAAGGGGAAGCTCCTGTCCTTGATGCGGTGCGCGTTAGATGGGAGAAACTGGCGCCAACGCTCCCTGAAATCGCAGTAGAAGGGGGCCTTCTCCTAAAAAAAACGCGAGAATCGTGGGCGGATCGCGGAACCCTGCAGCTACATCAGTGAGTGCGCCGCGATGATCACAAGCAGCCAGTACATGTACTGTTTGGCGATGCTTGTGGGTATTATAAGCAGCTGTTATCTCCTTGCTTGGTGCATCCATGAAGAGAAAGGACCAGTCGATGGCTGCAACCACACCTGGGGAGCCGAGGCACGCTGCAAAGCCTGCGATGGTTTCATGCAGCCGCGCTCCTATTGGCCACGCGATTGCGTCACCGCGCGCGGCAGCAACATACTTGCAAAATGTTGTCAGATACTAGTGTCACCCAGATTATGAAGCTCCAAACTTGTTACCAACGGAGTGCTGCGGATTGGCTCGGCAAGATATTGCAGCGCAGGTATGACATCTTCCAACGGACGCTTCTGGTTGCTTCCGCGCTGGCCATGATTGTCATAATAAGGAGCCAGCTTTGCCTAGAGATTTTGCGAGAAAAAAAAACTTGCGCGAGATACGAAACTGCGATTTGAAGTGTTCGTCATCATGTCTTGGAACCACGTCATGCACATAATTTTCTGTTTTGCTTAGGCGATGTTGGCGCTTTGGCATGGTCAGAACCGCTATATCGGCGAGTGCGCCAATGTGTTATTCACTTTCTGGATCCTGTAAAATAAATATTTTGTCTGGACAGTATGATTGTGGAAAAGTTTATATACGCATTAACTGCTTTGGAATGTAAATATACTGCATAACCTGGCGTCACATGTTTTCAAGGATATTGCCCGTCTGTGTGTCTATATGTAGAACTCTCCTTCATGCAACTTGTCACGACATAATATTTCTCCCTGCACACGTGCTCCGAGCAAAGCTGTATCCCTGCTTGTAACCACACGCGCTAAAACTCGTCCATGCGTAACAAAATGTGTGGACGGCCTCAATATACATGCATGATGATCTGAGCTGGCATAAGGCGTTTAGTTACCAGTGCCTGCTGAACTTCGTGTCCGTGGGATGATCGATTGCATGTGGTTACGCCTGCGCAACACTTGAAATATCGTAACGTCTCTCGGAGTCGGGGGCGATGATCTGCCTTTCTCTGCCTATAATATTCTCGTTAAAGTAAGTCGTCATGGTATAGGCAACTATTGTGAGAAATACACTTGAGATATTTGTACATTTGTACATTGAAGTACATTTGACTGTTCCGACTCGTCACTATCATCTCTGCTGGGCGTCAAATGTGTTTGCTGGGAAACAGCTGATTTCATTAGCCACCATGTTGAGGAGGTACCTGAGGCATTCTCCATGACGTAGATGACGTAGCTGTGGAACGTCATAGGTTGTTACCTGAGGGGGCGGAGCATCTGGCAGCATTTTCCCATCAAGACTGGGGCCCTGCTCTCTTCTCCGACGCCTCTGGGTCGTCACGCTGCACCCCGAACTCGACCGGCCTGGCAGGACTACTTCCCCGTCTGCTACCTCCTGTGTGCATTAAACGTCTTGCACTGCGGTTAACGTGCACCTGCAAGGCCAGTCCAATAGTTGGCGAGCTTTTGAATATTGTTCTGGGTGCATCCCATAGATATGCGTAGGCGGACATCTGCGACGGTGAACTTGTATTTGCATGTGTTTGTCAATTATAGACGACTCTCCGATATGCAACAAATACGGCAGATGCTTTTCATTTCGAAACCCCGCCGTTCCACTTTTGTGTGTTTTGTTTTATAAGCATCACCTTACTTTAGGCTGAAATGTATCGCGCTATTCAAATATATACAGCTATCAATCATGTGCCTAACGCTAAACAAGATCAGGAGTGGGTTATCTAACGCAGCACAGATGTGCAAAACCGAACAAAATTCAGAAACCTGACCACATACACCACCGAGGAAATTAACAGAACGAATTACGAAACACGTCAGAATATGCAGCCGATTGTTGTCCACCCAGAGCGGTGCTGCCCGTGGCCACGCGCCGGCTGTCGCCAGAAGACTTGTGAGGGCGCGCCGCGCCGCTATGTATGCTGCAGGCGGGCGAAATCATGTTTTCGGACCAGATGAGTTTTCGTAGAGCTCACACGGGAGGAAAACGGACGGCCGTTTGGGGTCGGGTGTCGTTATGTGGCCATACGTAACCCAGAATCATCTGGGCCTGGTCGTAGAGACGGCAGGCTGCCCCGCCCGGCATTCACTCACGCTCGAATCGCGGAGCAAACAGCGTAACGTTAAACCTGACCGAAATCAACCTGCCAATGCCTCACCGCAAAGCTGTTTAGGAAACACTGATGCCTGTGATGGCAGCATTTGGCCATGGGACTAAGATAAGCGGTCATCGTAAGGGTTGTCGCGACTGCACTTGTTCTCATCACCCCTCTACGTGTGTTCGGCGTTACATACCGTTTTTTGGGTGTGCCGTTCAAGTTATTTGCATTCTTCCAGTCCTTAAAAGAGAGTGTGGAGACTCCTGTTCCTTGTTCAACCCGCGCCCGGCCCGGGGAGGGGGGGGGGGGGGGCGAGCCAACTTTCGCCGCTGCGCTTTTTTAGAACAGGTTAAAAACGAACACTTGCAGCGACACGAAGTTTTCGTTACCTGCTGATTCAGGAATTTAGCACCCTTTGGGCAAATATGAGGTTTTGTTTTACCAAATGAAGTGATGCAGGTCAGGTGAAAGAGATCAATCCCTAAAAAGATTTTCCCACGCATAACTTTTTGTGGGCCATTTGCCATTGTTCAGTTTTGTTGTAGTAATGTAACATGATTGTGCCTACAGTGTGTATTCAGTTTTTCACATCTTTTCAGGGAAGCCGAGGTTAGAGACCTGAACTGAGCACAATCTTCGCGATTTTTCGCAAGTATTGCAACTTTTCTAACATTTTTTAGTACATTTGATATTTGTACTTGAAAAAGAGTGCTGATTTACATGCACAACCATCATGTGACCACAGGTCACATGACCTTGGCCCAGGTCATGGTTTACCTCCATGGATACCTTCTGCAAACCACATCCTGAACTCAAAATAGGTAGTTTTGTGAGTTTTCTTGCGAAATTCGAATACTACCCTGACAACACGTGATATCGCTATAATTCATAAGGAGGTGCCATTAGATTACGTGAGGACATGCAAGGTCATATGACGTCAATGACCTGTGTTGCCAGCACCGGAGAGGCTAGATACACGAGCGCGACGCGTATAACTACTTTCCTACCCTGTTTGTAAAGCCGATTATGTATATTTCGTGCACCAGCGTACGTGTTCTCAGGCAGAAGTAATAGTCTGATCTCTTGTTGGTACAAGAACCAGGAAAGTAGAGAGAAAGATGTCTAGATATTTCTGCAACATGCCTTTATTGAAACAAATTACAGTAGAAGTTCAAAACCGCCTGCCGATCTCAATCAATTTTGTGGGTTTTTAAACAATTTACCACAAACTTCGCTGTAGTTGAAAACAAACTTCTTGACAAAACAAACTGCAAAGCTCTGAAGCTTTAAAAAACTGAAAGATATCGAGTAAGATTGACAGGGAATTTTGAATTGACTGCTGTTATTCGTTTCGATAAAGACATGTTGCTGAAGTATCTACGCATCATCATCAACCTCCTCTCACCATTCTTCTGGATTTTCCTACGACGAACAAGGCTTTCACCACTGTCTTATTTATATGCGCAATGTTCCTCGCAAATGCAGTTAACAACTTACGCAAATGTTCTCAGTTTGTTGCAAATACATTGGCGAGCGTCGAAGGGACTACTGTTCCTCGCAAGTGCAGTTAACAACTTACGCAAATGTTCTCAGTTTGTTGCAAATACATTGGCGAGCGTCGAAGGGACTATACATAACGTAGAAACAGCTATACCATCTTGAGCACCTGGAGATGTACAATGTACTATTTCTGACCACAGGGAAGCATCTTACTGGTCACTTAGACCCGGCTAGCATTTCAAACTTCGTCATCCTGATGGTTTATAAGTCTGAACCAAATTGACCTCAGATGATCTTAAAGTCAGCCTAAAATAGCATTTGTGTGTCTGGAAGGTAAACTTAGCCATAAACACAACGTGTAAAACATCGTCCCTGATGGCAAATGGTAAACCAATTGTTATCGGTGACATGATCTGACCTGACTCATGTGATGAGCAAAAATGGTCGGAATTGACTTCCCACAATCTTAACGTGCATTTCTATGCCCTCAATATCCGTCCTTGACGTGTTAGCGTATGTTTTCAGCGCATCTATCAGAACGAGTTTTTTACTTTTGCTACCCTCTGGTGATCTCACATTTCACCGGAGATCAAATGTTTGGTTTACATTCTTTATGATGTGACGAGACCTTTAAGACGGCATTTTCGTTTCTCTAATACGGCGTCTGGAAGTTGGCGATTCCAGGGGGAGTCAACTTCACCCCCTCCCCTCCAGCAGACAGCGGTGGTCTCAGACCCACAGGCGGACGCGGGTTAAAGGTTTGTGCAACGAAGGCACGGCAGGATGGATGCAGTCCTGGTCGTTTGATCCTGGCTGAAAGTCAGATCTAGTTGAGGTTTGATCGGGAACACTTTTGGGCGGTATTTAAGGGCTCCAGAGAAAAACACAGATCACCTCTGCATGACCGTGATATATTTGACTTTGAACGATGCCACAGAGCACTGGTTCCTCCTCGTCATGTCGCATGCCTGAGCCCGCTCCGAAGCGCAGAGCACAGCCGAGCCCAGCCACGAGCCCAGCAGTGCGCCGCACTGTGCAGAGCACCGGGCCGCGACCACGGCTGGAGCACACCGCACTCGCAGCACTCGTCGGTTCCAGACACGAGGACAGTATGACGGCACAGCGCGCGTCTCAGGCTCAGTGGAGCACACCACCACACTGCAGCGGTGTGCTCGGGCCGTTACAGAGCACATCATACTGCAGTAGTGTGCTCCAGTGGGGCGCGCCACGGTCAAAACTCAAAGGAGCAGAACGTAAACGTTCGGAGCCCGTCGGTGTGCTCCGTGCGCGGCGCACCGGACAGTGGCGCGGTCGCTGGGATCCAGCGCACTTTGCGGGGAATCCATCGGCTCCCGCGCGCCCGAGCGCCGCTCGTCTCACCAGCTGTGCGCCGACGCCGAGCTGGATCTGCTGGTGGATTCGCACTTTGACTGGTTTCGGGTTGATAGGTCACAGAGACCGGTCGGCGGTAGGCGTGACCCCGGTCGTGACATCCAGCCTCGGATGAGGTCACGGCCGGGTCAGTGCCGCCAGCTTCTGCCACTTCTCATTGGGACATTTCCCCTTCTTCCCTACTTTCGACAGCGCAGATAGGACGTCGGTAGAGGCGTTGAATGCCGCGAATGAGGCCCATTACAGCCGCAAAGAGCCATCTTGGCCCTGCCCTTCTTTGGCGATATCTTGGAGACTAGCACGTAACCCGCCAAGACAAGTAGTTGAACGACCAGAGACGCCAGGCAGGAACCGTATCGCAATCTACGGCACCATTCTTTAGAACCATGCGCAGCCCATTTGACATCGCATGGCGAGGACAGGAACTAATATGTATGAGCTGTCTGCGTCTTCTTCCTCCGCACCGCCTCGCTCAAAATCCACTTCCTCCGCGATTTGTTCGTCTTGTAAACTCAGGTTTGGGCGCCCCCGGTGAAGCGCGGCAATCAAGGTTAGGCGCCGGCCGCTGGCCGTCAGCAGCAGTTTTCTGCGGGAGAATTTACGGAGCGCCGACTGACAGCTTTGTGGATCTGACGCAGCTTTGGGAAGAACACGGTTTCTTGACCTTTGACAGCTGCATGAAGCCGCAGCCCAACTTTTATCTGATCCCAACATTAGAGCAATCAGACTGCGATTGGCTGCTTGTGTGGCCACAGCATGTCAATGGGTCATCCTAACTGGGCTGCACGACGTAGTCAGCCAACTCAACACGCATCCCGGCCCGCTCACACTTCCTTCCCCGAGCCGTCCGAGAGCGGGCTTTGAGACTGTCGCCTCTTCAGCCGGCGTTGCCGGGTGCTGCCGGGTGCCACTGTCTGGCTGCGTGTTGCGCGGGGGAAGCGGTTGTAACTGGGATCTGATCAGGCAGCGACCTCCGGACCCGCCGCTCCGGAGCGCAGCATCGAACGCTTGGCGGCGCAGTATCGAACGAATGCTCGATCTTGACGGGATGAACATTTAGACTGGACGTGTCTCAAACCTGAATGCCGTACTGGGCTGATGCTGTTGAACACTGTGAATTACTCGTGACGTATTATTATTTGGTCGATTCCACATAAAGCCCAGATGAATCGCAGATAAGATCGGCCCATCCAATCAGACGATTGACTGAGATGCTGACATCGATCGACGACGTGTCTGTCTAGATTTTTAACTAGGCAACCCCATCAAAGAAATGAGGTCTTCCGAAAACATTTGAAATCTGCCGCGGGAGATGAATTTTCTTGGCACTGCTTCTGCAGCCAAAATGGATTAATCATTTTCGCACACTCGAAAACAGCAACAACGATAAGAGGAAAAGCTTACCCTTGAAAAAAAATCATCGATGGGCGTCATAAACTTGCACTCCAGTCGCGGCACGGATTTCAACAACAAAACCTAAACTTGACTTCGAGCAAAAATTCCCAAGCCGACAACGTGAAAGCTGACGCCGATTTGGGGACGTCGACAGGCCGTCCGCGTCCGGATCGCGTGTGGCGCTCCCCACCGCCGGCGGGACCCGGCGGGGGTGCGGTCAGGCGGCGCCGCGCGCTGCCCCGGTTCAGCTGGCCGGCGCGCGCGCCTCCCGCTTGCCGAACTTCATGTGCCCGTAGTCGGGCGAGCGCCGGCCGAACTTGAGGAAGCCGTAGTCGGGCGACCGGCGGCCGAACTTCATGTGGCCGTAGTCGGGCAGCCGCTTGGCGGCCGGCGGCCGCGGTGGCGCGCGCTTGCCGAACCGGAAGTGGCCGTAGCTGAGCGCGCGCTTGAAGTGGAACTCGTCATCGTCGTAGACGTCAGGCTCGAAGTCGTCGAAGACGGGGCCAGATCGCTGGGGAAGGGCGTCGGGTGTCAACAGCGGCATCGGATGATCATGCCAAGCATATCAACAGTCCACGGCTACGGGTTATTGTCAGCTGAAGATTTCAAACAACTGATCTACGAAAAGAGCTCGATCAGCAAGCTCTAAGCACCCACGAACCAAATCGTTATGGACTTAATGAAAAATGAGCTGTGAACCCTCGGGTTACATCCGTGTTCTATGTTTCGTGATGCACGCATCATGTCAGAATTCTTGCATGCTCGAATGACGTTTTCACAGCCACGTGGTTGCGCGTGGCGCCGTTTATCACATCACGCTGTGATTAAATCACGACTTTGCAGTTCATACCTTTTTTGAGTTCACAATGGCATAATTGAGTACCATGAGGTTGCGAGTCTCTGCGTCTTTAAGTAGACTTACTCCAACTGTCGCAGCCCTTAACAACCCACGATACGCGCTGCCAAACCTTTCACTTATATTGGAGCTGGCTGATCGAGATGAATGGGGCGTCCATTGTCAAAACTGGCCGCGCAGCTGTGACGCGAGGCGCCGTCCCCGCCAGCAGCTTATGTAGTTCAGTTTCCGCTCGACGTATATTGCACACGAAGCTATTCGTCCAAAGCAGCGAATTTCCGAGCTAAAATAGCCATTTGTCAATGCGATCTATTTTGGTATAAAGCTACGATGATGACATTTTGTTTATTGATGGCACCCTTCAGTGTCGGGCTGCACATTGTCCATGCGTTGCCGGTGACTCTTTAGTTTATAGTTATTTGTCCTGCCCAGCTCTAGCTCAGCTCTTTAGTTTATAGTTATTTGTCCTGCCCAGCTCTAGCGATTTGTCCCAGGCGCCGATATGTCCGACCAAGTTTGACAGGCTGTCTTACTCAGCAAGACGTGCGGCCATTCACAGTGGAAAAATGGGCACAAGAAACGGCTGCGCAACCACTCCAAGTCGGTTTCATCATCATGCGACTACGCTCATTTTCTCCCGTCGAGTCCGCCTGACTTCGAATGGTTGGCCCACTTTATTTGAGGAGAGAGGTCTGTCGGCCGGGCCAAGCTATAATAGCCGCAGAAGAACAGTCCCTTATATAATGACACCTTTTAGCTGCTGTAGCATAAACACATTAATGCAATGAAATAAAACGCTGACGGTGTCCAATGTAATTTCAGAAGAGCATATCACAAGAAAGCGCTCAGCCATTTTGTTCTGCTATTGACGTAAACGAACCTTTTAACATGTTTTTACTGACGTCAGACTTTTACATAGGTGCAGCTTTGTATCTGTTTTAAGTGACTTTGATCCTTAATACCAATGTTGATATCGGTTTCCCACCATATTTGACGACAATTACCACCTTCTCCCCAAAAAACAAATGTAGCAGAGACATCTATGTTTCCAAAAAAATTTGACTTGTGCTCCACTACGCTTTGTGACCGTCTGTTTATGACCACGTGTCGCTTTGAGTGCTTAACAGCTAAAGTAAGTCACGATGCAAGTAATCCGCTTTTATGATGCAGAACATTCTTCCTTCATCTCACACAGAGAGATGATTTAGTTTCGGTAAAGCGTTCAGCAATAACCACGCCTTAAATCTTTCCTCCGGTCTCGATCCTCGGCACCACCATTCAGCGCTAAACGGTATCTCGCCATGGTTACGTCTGTTGCAATTTGTTGTGATGTTGTTACCGGTACTTTTTGATAATCTCTATGGTGAGCTGACCTGAGTGAGGCCGTGTGGGTCGTTGATGAAATGTTCCTCGTCCGCCCGCGCCAGATGGTGTCGGCATGACAGTATCACGAGCAGCATCACTGGCAGGCAGCCCTCGACCAACATCCTGAAACAGCAGGCACAGTCAGCGGCGATCCGGACACGATGCAGCTGCGCAGACAGCGGATATCAGTCCAGCAGCCGCCAGGACACGCGGCAGCTGCACGGTCAGCGGGTATCAGCCCAGCAGCCGCCAGGATACGCTGCAGCTGCGCAGTCAGCGGATATCAGCCCAGCAGCCGCCATGACACGCTGCAGCTGCGCGGTCAGCGGATATCAGCCCAGCAGCCGCCAGGACACGCGGCAGCTGCGAGGTGCTGGCGACGGAAGCGTAGACAGGGTCGGATTGCGGCTACGAACGCTGCCTAGTAAAGATGTCTTGCCATGAGGTGTGTAACCACCGTGGTGAGGTTGATCCGGGACTAAGGAGGCACTAGTGGGTAGCCACCCGTGGCATGATATTGAATAAGTGTAAACAAATGCTGGCTTCAGTGTGTTCTGGAATAAATGTCTATCAATGCTTGGTTCGATGGATTGTGTAGCTTCAGATTGTTTCCAATTAAGGAGTAGTTTATTGATACCTAATCCTTCAATCACACAGCAAGCGCAATCGTGTGAGCAATGTATGATATTTACACAATGGTCGCACTCGGTTTGCCATGACTATCTTGCATTTTACTCTGCTTCCATATGAGTGCAGAGCAAGAGGGTTCAATCGTTTTGTTTATTGTAACCAACAGAAGGCAAGCAATTGATCTCACGGAGGTTTTCTCCATTCGTGAATATTCCATTTCAAACTGGTTTCGAACGTCATCGCAGAAACGTCCTCCCGTAAGACTGTAAGTGACAGAGGAGGAATGGTTTATTCGGCACTCTTGCGTAAGACGCACTGATTCTTATCGGCAATGCGAAACGTTTTTTAAGAATTCACGTGTCGGAAGCACCACGTGCCAAAAACTAAACTGGTATAATCTGAAGGCAATTTCTTGTATTCAAGCAACTAAATTTTGAATCAGCCTATGCCTTGTGGAAACGTATCCGTCTCAGCGATCACTTCCTTCCGTCTATAGTTGTTCTGAATGCTTTTTGTTCGATAAATGTTCTCTCTGCCCTTTTTGAAATGCTTTTCTGTAAGACGATTGGTAAAAGCGACAAATACAGTTCTGTTTATCCCACGTCAGGATCTCGTTAAATCAGTAATTGAGGCCTTGCATGTCATAATGTTCAGGGTGTAAGCGTTTCGCTCTCAACGCTGCTGCTACTCGTCACGATCTTTCCGGCAACATCAGGCCCTTAACGTACGGTGATCCTAATCCGCCTTATGATATTATGTGACCAGCTAGAGAAAGACCGTTTTAGCCTAAAGTGATGGTTGACAAGCTAGAGAAACATCGTCGCCTTCCTCACATGCCTGTTTTTCTGAGCCTATTCGGTCAAGAACTGCCCCCCAAAATGAGAAAACTGTTACAATCGTACTGCGCGACAAACAACATGGCATGAAGACGTATGAAGATTGTTTCCAAAGTGCAAGTGCTCAGTAGAAGCGCTCTGTTAGCTTGATCTAGGTTAGTCAGATTTTTATCGGCATGTTTTTTGTGTTACTGCAGTTGGTCCAAGATTCTAAGTCGTGGGCACTTATTCCCTCTTCAAGGAACGTTTTTTACGAAAATGAGTTCTTATTCTATCTTACCACCGTCTGAACTTGAAAGACATGCACTCCAGCCTTGTCATACCCAAATGGAACGGAGTTCGTAAGGCAGCAGAGACATTCCTCATTTTCTGCGGCAGGCAGTGATTTTACCAGGAGTGTGCAAGCGCGTTCAACTGCTGTCAGCGTTCCGTAAGGCCAAGGTACCATGGTCTGTGTTAGTGCCTCCAATCCCCCGTCGCAATCAAGCTCGCTCGTTTTCTTTGCATTCTTAATGATTTTAACTCTCAGAAAATCAAAAAGCTGTTTTTTCCTTTACGTTTGACATACAGGTCTTGGCAGAAGGTCGGTCGTTCGCGTACTGCTCTTCCAAACCAAAGCTTTTCTCGATAAAGGTTAAGACAGGTGTCTTTGCAAAGCTTTTACATAACATTGTCGACAGTTCAAGGGTAAACCACGGGCAAGTATACAACGACTGTAAATCGTTAGAAAAAGCACCACGTTTTACGTTTGACTGTGATATGTTCATGCCGCGTATGCGGTTGTATTCCGGAATGAAGTTAGCAAGCAACTGGATACAAAGCGCCAAAACAAACCGCCCGTGTTTCAGGTGTATCTATTGCACACTGCGCCCGAGATCGCACAGGTGTTGTTTGTTGTTGATTTTATTTTACCTAGGGAATGGTTAATTCGATTAATTGTATGATTGAGTACGGTAACCATGATAATTTTTATGACTCGGATGGTTTGTCCTTACCAGTTATGTGGTCGGGATGGTGATTTTACAGTGTGCAAGATGCGTGTGCATAGGCCTCCGTATATGCCGCCGACTGCGTGTGTATTTCAAACCTGACGTAGCTTGGCTGAGTGGGAAGTGTTACGTGAGTGCGGTCGAAATTTGTGCAACAAAATGTCTCCGGATAAAAAACTTTTTCAACTTTCCTGGCACTGAAGCGCTGGCATAAAAAAAACATCACTAGGTCACGGCAGAGCTGCATGGTCAGCTCGGCCCCTCTCCCGACTCGCGTGCCGCCGGTGACCCCCAGCAGCGGTGTGTCATCGAAGCCCCGCGGGTGCGGTTGCCGGTCGCCGCGGCGCCGGCCCGTCGGTAGTCCGGCCGGGGCGCCATCGTCCATCGCCCGAGGCGCCGCCCTGGGCCGTAAACCAAAGGGCGCGCTCCGCTCCGCGCAAACAGACATCAACATGGACAGCATCTCGTGCTTCAGAGATCGGGTCGGAGAGGTGCTACGGACGTGCCTTTCTGGACACCGTGTAAGGGCAGAGGCGATCTCTTTTGTTATTATAAATGTGTTGTTCAGATGCCTTTCAATACTGGCTTCGATCGGAATATCAGGCTGCCTGATGTTTCGCGGCCCCGTGCCGATATCGCAGCATTCCTCGAGCAAGCGTTTTGCTCGCCTTTTCGCCCGACAAGAGGTCTCACAGGCAGCATTTGTCTCTGTGTTTGTGATCCCTGTCTTCTTAGGGGTCGTATGATGGCAACCGCTTCTTTATCTTTTATAGGTCGCGCTGTACTGTCATGACACTATGAGTTAATCAATGCAGAGAAATGCTAAAAAATATACAACCTACGCCAAACGCGTGTCATTACACCGTCCTGCATAACGAGCTCAGTTATGCGCCCAGTGGACCATGTGAGCGCAAAATGCAATCGCTTTGACCATGACCAATAGGACCTCGATGTGATACGTGATGTCTACAAATTTTCAACAAACGTGTTAGGATATTCCAAATTCAGCTGCTCCATATTTCCGCACCTTTTTGTGGTTCCAAGTTTCGAAATAAGAAAATATGATACCTGTAAATCCCATTTTGTACCGCGAGGTTTGGTTCCCAGACAAAGTATTTTCCGCAGCGAGATCTCAGTATACGATAGGAGCAATATTTCCAGAACTATCCAGTACTGGCATAAATGTGGTATTCGTATTGGATAAGTTCGCCGCTGGAGAGTAACACTGCTTACGCTGCAACTGGCAGTGACAAGTCGACATACTCATGAACTGACTGGAATAAGGAATTTAGCTCGGGATTCTCCCATCCAACCAAGGGCAAAACATAATCCACACGGGCTCCCGCCAGCGACGCGTGTCTGGCCGACCTGACGCGGTGGCAGGTCCAGAGCTCCGGCCCGTGGGAGCGACCGTGTCACGCACCGAGGGACCGGGCCAGCGACCTCGCCTAACTGACTTACCGAGGACTTCCTTCCGACACCGCTCCGTAACCAGTCAGACGTCAATCACTAACGCGATTACAGGTGATGGATCCGCCTGGAAGGCTGCGGTTACCCGCCACGAGCCCGCCGGGAAGGCGAGCCGAGCAGCGGCGCGACAACGGGCGCAGCGCGGTCCACCTGTGTTGCACCCGCGCTCGACACGACGAGTCACATGTCAACTCTCGCAGCAGAATCAGTCCGCAATTTACGGTGAATCCTCCGCCGAGCCGTGCGGAGGTGGAATGCCAAACAGCGGCCCGGCCACGAAGGCGTGCGACTCGTGCGGCGGCCGTGGAGGTGGTCAGGCGGCCACGATCTCTCGCTCCATATCATGCCCCCGATCGCTGTCGGCCGATAGGCCGGCACGGACGGGCACAGCACGGGGACCTCACGTCCGGGCCACTGAGACTGATCTGCGTCCAAATGACCGTTCGCTGTTCATGGGCCAACAAGGTGCGGCTGGGTCTGGACTCTCACGTGCTTAACTGGCAACGGGGCAGGGACAGGGCAGATAACGGACCTTTTATGTTCCCTCAGACACCTTCGCAAGAATCTTGCAATCCATCGTGTCATGCCGCCCTGGCACTGGGACAACGCGGGCACACTTGAGAGATCGGTAGCAGTTGATCTATTGGAGTGCATCGCGCTGCGCTCCGTAGCCACCTCGCGATTTTAGTAACTTGGAAGACCGGGAAACTGGTGGTCAGGGGTGGTCCAAGGCTGGCGGGCAGGGGTGGTCCGAGGCTGGCGGTTAGAAGCGGTTTGAGGCTGGCGGTCAGAAACGGTTCTAGGTTGGCGATAAGGAGTGCTCCGAGGCTGGCAGTCAAGAGTACTCCGAGGCCGGCGGTCAGGAGTGGCCTGAGGCTGGCGGTCGAAAGTGGTCTGAGGCTGGCGGTCAGGGGTAGCCAGAGGCTGGCGGTCAAGAGTACTCCGAGACTGGCGGTCAGGAGTGGTCTGAGGCTGACGGTCATGGGTCGCCAGAGGCTGGCGGTCAAGAGTACTCCGAGGCTGGCGGTCAGGAGTGGTCTGAGGCTGGCAGGCGGCTGACTGGTAGAGGCTCTCATTCGGGCGGCTCCTCTCGTCGCTGCATGGCTTGCGCACTCCGGCAGGGCTGACACGTGAAATACGGCCGGCAACACCCCCAAATGAAAGCCATGATTGCTATGGCACTGTGACTGACATATAC